GACCAGTGGTTTGTGATCAATGAGCAGAGCCATTTTAGTTAGGGTGAATGGTCTTTTGGGGGGACAAATAGAAGATCAGTTAGATAAGTGGGTAGGGTGTAGAGTGAATCTTGGAGTTTCATCCAAGGTGCTGCATGTGTCAATAATTTGTTCCTTTTTGTTTTATTATACAGTGCTTTTTAAAAATAGTGTATCTTGTTGAATTTAGCTTTCCTAGTGATTGCTCTATATAACCCTATACATACATTTACTTTTTATAGTCTACTGGTATCATCATGTTATCATTTCAAGTGAAATATAAAAAACTTACTTCCTTTAAAAACTCGTTATCTTTCTTTATTTACAATATAATTGTCTTAAATATTTCTTCTACATACATTTAGAGTCAAATCGAATAGTGTCTTACTTTTTGCTTCAACCATTAAACATAATTTAGAAAACTCCAGAGAAGAAAGGTTTATTGTATTTATCTATAGTTTTGCTTACCGTGTTCTTTTTTCCCGGTGTTCCAAGGTTCCCTCTTTTATAAATTCCTTTCTGTTTAGATAATTTAACCATTATTTTAGAGTGGATCTTCTGGTGACAAATTCTCTTAGTTTTCCTATATCTGAGACTGTCTTGATTTCCACTTTATTCTTGAAGGATATTTTTACCAGATATAAAATTTTGCATTGACAATTCTTTCCTTTAATTTCTTGAAAAGTGGTATGTCATTTTTTTCTGGCCTCCATGTTTTAAAACTTAATAATCCACTGTTACATGAATTGTTTTTTATTGATAGGTGAGGTGCTCCTCTTTTGCTCCTTTCAATAATTTTTCTTTAGTCTTTGAAATTTGACTATTAAGTGTAATGATGTGGATTTCTTTGAGTTTATCCTGTTTGGAGTATTCTCACCTTCTTGAATCTGTAGATATATAGATATAGATATAGGTACAGATAGATTGTGTGTGTGTGTGTGTGTGTGTGTGTGCATATATATATATATATTTGCAAAATTTGGGAAGTTTTCAGTCAACTGTCATTTCTTCCAGTAGTTTTCTAGCATTGCTCTTTTTTTTAACTCCTTTAGGAACAAAATACGAAAATGACTTCTTTTGTCATAGTTCCACAGGGCCCCCAGGCTAGGCTAACTTATTTCAGTCTGTTTTCTCCCTGTTGTTCAGATCGGGTGACTCTTATTATTCTGTCTTCTGGTTCACTGATTCTTTCCTCTGTCCCCCATTTTGCTGTCAAGACAATTCAGAATTTTTTTTTTTTTTTTAACATTTCACTTGTATTTTTCAGTCCTAAAATTCCCCTTTGGTTCCTATTTATATCTTTTACTTTTTTACTAAGACTTTTTCTTTGCTGAAATGTTCTATTTTTGTATCAAGTATATGTGTAATTGCTCATTGCAATATTTTTGTCATAGCTGCTTTAAACTCTGTTAGATAATTCTAAGATGGCTATCATTTTCTTATTGGCATGTTAACTGTCTTTTCAAATTCTGTTTTAAATTCTCTTGGTTCTTGGTATAATGAATAAATGTCAATAGAAACCTAGACATTCGAGTACTATGCTATAAGGCTCTAGATCTTATTTAAATCTCTGTTTGAGATGGCTTTATCTTATACCAAGGGAAGGAGGGCTGCCACCTTGTTACTGCCAGGTGGGCATAGCAGTCCATCTAGATTCCACAGTCTAGCTACACTGATACCCAAAGCAGGATACTTCTTGTTACTACTGGGCAGGAGTGGAAGCTTCGGCTCCCCTCTAGTCTCCACTGATACCTTGAGAAGAGTAGGAGTGCCTCCTTACTGTTCACTACCTGGCTACTACTGACACCGTGGGGAGAGGAGCAGAGGGCTTATTTCTCCTGGAGACTGGTGGGAGTCCTGACTTTTCACTAAGGCCCCTCTGACACCCTTTAGTGGGAAGGGTATCTCACTACTACTTTGTGCTCCTTATGTGGTCTTCAGACACCATTGCAATGTGTGTGGGCTGGCTCATTACTGCTCAGCAGGAAATGAATATCCCAGTTTCCTACTCTACTGCCACTATGGGGGTTTTTTGAGTGCTTGGCAAAGGTAGATTCTCGCTTGGCCTTTGCTGGTGGTGGTGGTGTGCAGGAGGGTAGCTATGGTGTTTGGTTGGAGTAGAGGGGTAATTTTCTAAACATTTTTTACCTCTCTCCAGGACCTTTGACTAGAGAAAGCCGTCTTTTATTATTTATTTCTGCACTCACTGGTGTGTTTTGTATTGCTGATTTCTTCAGCTGCAAGTTTCAAATACATGAGGCAATAAGAAAATGCAGGGAACTCATCACGCTATTGTTACTTGGATCCTGAAGTCTTTAGCCTGTTTGCCTTCTCCTGTTCACTTTTTCAGTTTCTTTTATAAGTTTTATATATAATACCATATCCAGGGTTTCCAGTTTTATTTACTGGGAGAAAGAGAATAAAGAACATCTGCTCCACCTTCCAGAAAAGGCAAGTTCCCTGAAGAAGTTATTTTTATTTTATTTTTTAAATTTTTTTATTTTGAAGATGTGGGGTATAATTCAGGGTAAGAATTTATTTTTAAGCTTTCTTCTAGATCTTTATGATTTCAGGTCTTCTGAGACACATAATTTATATATTTGTTGTTTGTGTAAAACGTCTTCTTTCATACTGGTTTATTCCTCTAAAAATTAATGAATTTCCCTTGTGTATATTTGTGTTACTACATTCTACTTTCAAATGGAGCATTTATTTTTATTTTTTAATTAAAAATTATTTTATTGAGTCACTTATAATATAGTTTGATAGTTATAAGAGATAGAGACAAATCAAATTCAGTATCTGGTTACTTTTCTTAAAAATTTTGGATTTAGGGGACATAAGTACATGTTTGTTACATGGGTATATTGCATACTGGTGGGGACTGGGTTTCCGGTAATCCCATTCCCCAGATAGTGAACCCAATAGGTAGCTCAAGTGAAGCATTTAAATAGGTGCTATTAAAAATAACAACAATAAAACTTTGGCTTTAAGTGACACTTTGCTCTCTAAATCAATATTTCTTATTCTTTCTTAGGGGAGGAGGTCAAAACTTCTTTGAGAATCTGATTAAAATAATACATATCCTGCTCTCAAATTTTGCTTATGATTTAGGAGGTTTATAGATAGCATGTAGACCCCTCATAAATATTTCCTTTTCTAAGTGTTCATGACATATAAACTGTGAAGCTAAAAATGAATAAAAATAATTAGGAAACACAGGACTCAAGGGCTCTTTCTTGACTTAGACTCTGCAGCCCCACAGCCCAGTTCAACAAAAGTCCATTTGGTTAGCCTTGACAGAAAGATGACTTTTTTACATACTGGAAAGAACTTCTGCCAATTCATATTCGTGCAATTCTTTTTTTTTTTTTTTTTTTTTTTAGTCAGAGTCTCACTCTGTTGCCCACTGCAGCCTCAACCTCCTGGGATCAGGCAATACTTCTCCCTCAGTATTCCAAGTAGCTGGAACTACAGGCACGTGCCTGGCTAATCTTTTATTTTTATTTTTTGTAGAGACAAGATCTTGCTATGTTGACTAGGCTGGTCTCAAACTCCTGGACTCAAGCAATCCTTCCACTTCATTCTCCCAAAGTGCTGGGATTACAAACATGAGCCACTGCACCAAGCCTCGATTTATGCCACCTTAAAAGTAGTGAAGATACTATTCCAATCTAAGTCTTTCTCACTTCAGTGTCCATACTTTATTTCTTATTATGTGTTAAACACATAGTGAATATTTTCATTTGTATATTAACAAATAGCATTTTTGAGAATTTCCTAATTAAGTAATGATCATATCCTTATCTTTGGCTGACTAAAATTTGGCATAAAATGCAGCCGTTTGTGAAAATAAAAAAGATATATTGGTAAAGACTGAGTTTTTTTCCCCTCTTGAGCAAAAAATGGAAATAAGTACTGGATGACTTGTTAATGGAAAGACTACTACAGGAAGACTTCAGTTATCTATTGCTATGTAACACACCACCCAAAACTCAATAGTCTAAAATCTCAACTGTTTATTATCTTTCACAATCATAATCTACATGATACTTCTGCTGATTTTGCCTGTGATCATGTGATTGCAGTGCTATGACAGTTTGACTGTGGCTTGCATCCCAGGATGTACTTCCTAAAACTTCTGGCAGTTGATGCTGGCAGCTACCTAGAACACCCTGGTTCTTCTCCATGTGGCCCCTTAACCTCCATTTGGTGAAACTGGGCTCCTTGACAGCATGGTGCTAGCAGGGTTCCAGGAGAGAGAAAAATGGGAGTTTTAAGGCCTCTTAAGGCCCAGCATTTGAAGCCACGCTTCTACAAGTCACAGAGGTAGCCCAGATTCCATCTCTTGATGGGAAGAGGGGCAAAGTCACACTGCTAAAGTGCATGTGAGATGGGAGGAATTGTTGTGGCTATGTTTGCAGACAATATAGGGGAAAGGGAAGCAAAATGATGATGAGTAGAGAAGGTTGCAGTGAATGGTAGGGAGAGATGCTGACGCAGGACCATGTGTCCTGGAACAAACTCAAGGTATAAGTAGCAGCCAAAGAAAAGAGTGTAAAGCAGTTGGCAGGGAAACTTTCTGTGATGGCTTTAGACAGCTCTAAGAACTGCTCATATTGACTCAGCCAGTGAACAGAATTTTACTTTTTTTTCCCTAGAGTTTTCCCTATATTGGACACAAAGACTGAAATCAACAGGCTATAGTTCAATCTGGATACATAATCAGCCTGGGACAAAAAAGATTTTCCCAAGCTAAGCACCCCATGGACTTAAAAAATTCAAATATGAAATGAAGCAGTCTGCAAAATACCAATTATGCAAACATTTTGGCTGCTAAAATAATGTAAGCAATGAAAAAAAAATGAAGACTAGGGGTTATACAAAATAAATGATCTTTTTGGTGCTTAATAACCCAGTGGATTATCAATATTGGTTTAACAAACTACCTCTAACTGGGATATTGTGGCTATTTCTTGATAATGGTGGTACCATCTAGTACTGCACCACCTCAATTACTTAGGTGAGAGTTTTATATCGGGCATTCACTTCTCAAACAAGAGCTTTGACTAGGTGCTGAATCAGCTATACCCAGAAGAGACATGCTGTGATTCATCACATGGAGTCATTCCAATACTCAGTATGTGTCCAGTTCTCTGTTTTATAATGCTACATTTTAAGTTTCACCATTTGGGAACTCTGAGCTCTTGGTATACAACCTTACTCTAACACAGCAGTAAGGAACAGCCTAGTAAGTAAATGTGACTAAAACATGGCAGTGATCACAGAGAAATGTCATCAAGAGCTACCTTCTTAGTCTACATGTATTTTCCTTCTTTAATTAGAATGTTTTAAGAGTACTGGCAATAGATAAGCAATTCTCTTGAAAGTAACCATGATACTGCATGTGGCTAGTGGTATTATACATGTATGTAATAGCAAGCAAGCAAACAAACAAACAAAAACTCAAGGATTTTAAGAAAAACTCACCCCAAAGGAACATTCTTTCTGGCTCATTTCTAAAGTCTAAAATGTTACCACTAAAGCAATTCCTTTTTCCTTTTTCCCCCTCTTCCTTTTCTTTTCTTTCTAACATTGTTTTCTGCAGACTTTCTCTTTTAGAATGCACACTCCTGATACGTTGTTATATTAAACTTCACAATATAATAAAAATCATACAGACTTTCGTTTCTGACCCTGTCTTTACTAACTGTGTGATTATGGACAAGTTACTAAATCTCTGTTGGTCTCCTTGGGCTTTGTGAGGATTAAGTTCTATAAAATTATATGTATATAATTTTATATGTAGTATATATTATTATAATATTATACATGCCATAGCTATATATACACATTTGTATATGTATGTGTATACATATATAGAGAGAGAGGAGTGGGAGGGGAGAGAGAGAGAGAGAGAGAGAGTCGGCAAATAATAGTATGTGTTCAATAAACTTTAGCTTCTGACGTTTCTTAAAAAAGATTATCAAAATATTTGAGTAGTATTTTCTTTCACTGTTTTTTCCTGACAGTAAGGTAGAAGTTTTTAACTTGGGGTTCACTGGTAGAATTCGGGAGGTCTGTGAACATGAATGGAGAAAATCACATTTTTATTTTTATTAACCTTTATCTGAAATGTGCATTTTCTTCAATTATAAGTGTAGGTTACAATCCATAGCAATACTGGCAATACCAGTGACTTTGTTACCAATAGAAGTCTTAGATACTTTCATGTAACATTATGGCAGTTGCATGAATCTTAAAACTTGATTTATGTTCATGACTACTTTAAAGTTGTGATAGTTATTAGGCATCATTAGGTCTTATTATTTAATGTATTGGTAAAGATGTACATATATTACTATATCACAGTTTTTTTGTGATTTGATAAGTTTATTTTATTATAACATGTATAATTTTATGTATTTTGTTTTATGTATTTAAAAACATTATTTTAAAAATGAGTCTATGCAGTAAGGAAAAGAGTAGTAACATGTTAAAGTTGTTGCTTGTACTTGTTCAGTAGTGGTGTTTGTGATACTAACTTTTGTTTATTCTAAGGTTTAATCAAATAATCACTTACTTTTAGGGGTTTTCATTAGTTGGCTGTAGACATGACTATCTTTTAGCAATTCACAACTTAGTATTCAAAAGTTCTCCACAGTGTGCCAATTTATTATCGAACCATTGCTTTTTTATGTATAGAAGACTTTAAACATGGCATATCTATGCAATGGAATACAAATTAGTATAAACAAAAACAAGAAATAGATACGTACACTGCTGTGGAATAATTTCCAGAATATGTTGTTTATTTAAAAGAGCAAAATGAAAACATAGATATTTAGTGTGCCATATTTTATCTGAAGAATAGGATGTATAAATATAAAATAAAATGTATGCTAGCATATTTTTATTAAAATGGTCTAAATGCAATGGGATATCCTGGATCCTGGAATAGAAAGAAGGCATAAATGGAAAAGTAATGAATTCTGAAAAAAGTTCAGCTTAGTTAATAGTGTTCTGCCGATGTTTCTTTTTCATTTTTGACCAGTGTGTCAAATGTTGATAAGTGTCAACACTGGGGAAGCTGATTGAAGCCCATATGAGACCTCTAAGTACTAAGATTTGGAACCTCTCTGAAAATTGGTATCGTTGGATTGCCAAATGTTGGGAAATCTACCTTCTTTAATGTGTTAACCAATAGTCAGGCACCAGCAGAAAATTTCCCATTCTGCACTATTGACCCTAACGAAAGCAGAGTGCCTGTGCCAGATGAAAGATTTGACTTTCTTTGCCGGTACCACAAACCAGCAAGTAAAATTCCTGCCTTTCTAAATGTAGTGGATATTGCTGGCCTTGTGAAAGGAGCACACAATGGGCAGGGCCTGGAAAATGCTTTTTTATCTCATATTAGTGCCTGTGATGGGATTTTTCAACTAACTCGTGCTTTTGAAGATGATGATATCACACATGTTGAAGGAAGTGTAGATCCTATTTGAGATATAGAAATAATACACGAAGAGCTTCAGCTTAAAGATGAGGAAATGATTGGACCCATTATAGATAAACTAGAAAAGGCGGCTGTGAGAGGAGGAGATAAAAAACTAAAACCCGAATATGATATAATGTGTAAAGTTAAATCCTGGGTTATAGATCAAAATAAACCTGTTTACTTCTATCATGATTGAAATGACAAAGAGATTGAAGTGTTGAATTAACACTTATTTTTGACTTCAAAACCAATGGTCTACTTGGTTAATCTTTCTGAAAAAGACTGCATTAGAAAGAAAAACAAATGGTTGATAAAAATTAAAGAGTGGGTGGACAAGTATGACCCAGGTGCCTTGGTCATTCCTTTTAGCGGGGCCTTGGAACTCAAGTTGCAAGAATTGAGTGCTGAGGAGAGACAGAAGTATCTGGAAGCGAACATGACACAAAATGCTTTGCCAAAGATCATTAGGACTGGGTTTGTAGCACTCCAACTAGAATACTTTTTCACTGCAGGCCCAGATGAAGTGTGTGCATGGACCATCAGGAAAGGGACTAAGTCTCCTCAGGCTGCAGGAAAGATTTACACAGATTTTGAAAAGGGATTGATTATGGCTGAAGTAATGAAATATGAAGATTTTAAAGAGGAGGGTTCTGAAAATGCAGTCAAGGCTGTTGGAAAGTACAGGCAACAAGGCAGAAATTATATTGTTGAAGATGGAGATATTATCTTCTTCAAATTTAATACGCCTCAACAACCGAAGAAGAAATAAATTTTAGCCATTGTTCAGATGAACGTACAACTTCCAAAAGGCATATGTTTTTTTTATAAATTAAAATTTCTGAAAACTGAAGGGGCAAATAAAGTTGGGGAGATGGGAATCTTCTACAAACAAATTATTTTTATTTGTTTTAAAATTAAAATACTGTGTACCTCCAGTGAAATGCAAGTTTACTCAGTGTGAACAGCTTTGCTTTTCATGTGATTAAGGCCCTCCTCCAAATTGTAGAAGCTTTTCAGGAACCATATTACTCTCATGATACTTCATTAATCTCCATCATGTATGCCAAGCCTGACACATTTGACAGTGAGGGCAATGTGGCCTGCTCCTTTTTGAATCTACAGATAATGCATGTTTTACAGTACTCCAGATGTCTACACTCAATAAAACATTTGACAAAACCAAAAAAAAAAAAAAAATCAAAAGATGAAAAGATGAACAAGCACCTAATAAAAATGTTACTGAGGGAGGGAGAGAACAGGAACAAAAACTAGAGTCCTCTGAATGTATACAGTTTTGTAAATTTAACTCTAGAAACATGTAAATATTTCATATAACTGTAAATCAAAAATAAAGTTTCTAAATTCTAAAGCAAAATGAGTTCTAAAATGTAACTAGTTTTTGCATTGCTGTCTTAATCACATAGAGAGGAATATTGTCAAGTGATTTTAGAATAAATAATTTGACTATACACTCCTAGTGGGATGTATACTAAGGCCAAGACAAACTGTAAAAAAATCTTATACTGTTTGTGTAATCAGGTCATCATAATAATATTAGTACTGTATTTTGTGCCTGTTATATATGTGCATGCATATGTGTTTGTGTCTGTATATATAGTATATAGTAGGATAACACTAATAAACAAGTATGTATAATCCCTACTTTCAGTACAATAGACAGAAATAAAAAATAAAGCCAAAGTAGAAAAGTAAATTTAAACTGGAAATACTGGTATAAATTCATGATGATTTTCTTTTAAAATTATCAGACGCAACATGGTTTCTTAGTTTATTGGTGATTAAAAACAGCAAATTAGATGGTGGGAAAAAGAACAGTCATCTCATAGCTATCATTAAGTGCAGGAAAAGGGTACTTTTGGAGGTAATAAGTGATAAACCATTCCTTATAATTCGTCACTGAATTACAATAAAATAAATAATGCAATCATGATTTGAATCAAGAACAACTCCAGTCATGACCATATACTCTTTTGGAGAGCAGTCAAATTTTTTTAACATATTAGAAAATAAATAAATCATGTTTTGACATTTAAGCATAAATTCAGGTGTGTCAAAATGAATTTACATGACTTTCCTTATTCTCAGATGATACTGCAAAGTGAGGAGTGTTTATATTTGGAAACACTGTCAAATGTGAGCTAATGTCCCCTATTGATTTGCACCATGTGATACCTTGAAGTATCTTGGTAGGAATAACAAGTGTCTGGTCTGAGTCTCTAATTATGAAAGGATTTGACTAATAAGTAGTTATATGAATTCATGTGTCTCTCAGAATGTAAATGCTGTCTGAATCGGTCATTGCAAGATGATCAGGGCTGTCTAAATATACAGTTAATCTCCAAATGAATTTGGAGTATCTTCTTCACTGTGCTGATTTAATTAAATATTTTTTCAATCCAACAAATTCTCTTTCTTATGTCTCCACCTCCTAGAAAGTAGTAGCACTATAGCTTGCAGTCACTAGGCTCAACTATCAATGACATAAAATATTGTTAGTTGAAATTGTCCTTATAAATATACAGACATAGATAACTTTTTTTTTTGGTAGGACAGTTAATTTCTTTAATTTCACTCTTCTGTTATTTGTTTTTCTGGGACCAAAAGTAGAGAAATATACTGAATTGATTGGTCATAATATAAAAAGAACAAGTGATCTTATTTTTCAAAAAAGGGCAAAAATGTACTCCATTGTATAAAATGTATTAATTCATTCTTTCCTATCTATATACTGGACACCATCCTAGATACCTATAATATACAAGAGTGAATTATACATAGAGAATGTCCCTCCTCACACTCTTGCCTATTCCTGTCATTCTCCAATATTGTCTAAAGTTTATTGAAAAGTTGCATAAACTTTCTCAATTGATAGCCATCTGCTTTAACAAGCTTTAAAAAATGCATACCTGGAGTTGTTAGAAGGCTGTTATCTTAGTGTTAACAGAATCAAATTATTTCCCTTCTAACATCTAGCTGAAATAAAACTCACTAATGGACTAAACCTTTTTAATGGGAGTTATGGAATAAATTGTTGATTAATTTGGCACATTATATATGAGTAGTGTGGGCATTTGGGCAGCTAGAAGACAGTTGAGGGTAGTGAATACCTAAGGAATCTAGAATAAAGGAGAGAAAGGAATAAAGGAAGATTCATTTCTGAGACAAACTGCTTTTATCATTGTGCCACAGACTGAGTTTGTAGCCTATCTCAGAGTCAGTTTCCTTGGCATCTCACCTCTTGTTCCATGTTGCTTCTCATCTCTCCCCTTGACCTTCTCTTTTGTTGAGGTTGTTCTTTATTTAGGAAAAGCAGTCAGCATATCCTCACAGTTTCCATATCTACAAAGCTGCCAGAGAGATATTTTAAAAACATTAACCAAATAATATTACTCCATTGAATAAAACCCTGCAATGGCTTCCCAATACATTTAGAATAAAAGTCAAACTCCACACCCCAGCCTACAAAGGTCTACTTGATTTGCCTTCTATGATATCATCTTCTACTATCTTAGTTTGTTTTATGCTGCTATAATAGTCTACTACAGACTGAGTAATTTATAATAAATAGAAGTTTGTTTGGTTTACAGTTCTGGAGGCTGAGAAGTCCAAGACTGATTGGCCACATCTGGTGAGGGCCTTCTTGCTGTGTTATGACTTGGCAGAAAGCATCACATGGGCAAAAGAGAGTAAGAGCTCAAACTCTCAGCTTCTAGTCCTGGCATTCAATCATTCATGATAGTGTATCCCTCTTGACCTAGACACCTCTCATTAGGTCCCACTTTCAACACTGCTACCTTGGATACTAAGTTTCCAACACATGCTTTTGGGAGACACATTCAAACCATTGCACCAACTATTTTGCCCTTCAGCCATACTGCCTTTCTCTCCATGATTTGGACATCCTGAGTTCCTTCCTGTTTCACAAATTTTGGACTCCCCCCCCATCTTTTGGCTCTTTCTCCAGACATCTGTATATCACCCACCTCCATGTCACTTTCTAAATAGGGGGAAAAAAACTTATTTTTTGTTTACTTGTTGATTGCTTCTCTGACCCCATTAGAACATATGCTCCATGAAGGTAGAAACCTATCATGTTCTCTGGTCATTAAAGTTGTGTTAAGTAAACAGAATACACTTTATTCTGGTTAATCTTACATTTTATTCCAGGGGAATACCCTCTGTAAAAAATGCAGATCAGCAGTATTGCTTTCTATTTTATGATTTTATTCTTTTTTTTTTTTGAGTTGGAGTCTCACTCTGTCGCCCAGACTGGAGTGCAGTGGCCGCTCCCGGTCACTACAGCCTCGACCTGCTGGGCTCCGGCGATCCTTCTGCCTCAGCCTTCCAAGTAGCCAGAATTACAGGCATGCACTACCACGCTCGGCTGATTTTTTGGATTTATTGTAGAGATGAGGTCTTGCCAAGTTGCCCAGGTGGGTCTCGAACCCGCGGGCTCAGGCAATCCACTCACCTCAGCCTCCCGAAGCGCTGACCCAGTTTATGATTTTATTCTTACTGTACCACCATTCCTGTCACTCCCCCCACATCCTGCAAGTAGTTTGGAAGCTTCTTAAGAATGAAAATGGGATCATATATTTTAGTTCCCAAATGTGTCTAGCATAGTGATAGAGGCATAGTAAATAATCAATAATCATTTTTATTAAAAATAATAATACTTCAGTTTTACATAGAATCTTTATAGTAAAGCAAGAAGTAATACATCATCTTTTTTTACACAAACCCAGTGAATTAGCAAGGCAAATATTACTTTCTTTCTTTTAAAGAGTGAAAAACAGATTACAGATTTACTGAAAGACAGATTTACCAGAGTAAATCTAAATTCACTCAGCAAGTAGTGCCCGCACTGGAAAGTAGTGAGTATATTCTTTTCTCTGTAAGGGCTTGGGACTTTAAGTGACACATTGTTACTGATAATGATATTGCATACAAATTAAAGTCAGTAAATAACCTCAAGTAAGATTTAGTGAAATACTGTTCATTCTTTGATAATGAAGTGAAAGTGTGAATTAAGTTCCTGAAAGAGAACTTGCATAAAATCTTTCAGATACCAGTGAGTCCTCTTTTGAGAATATTCTGGTATTTTGGATTGATAGTGGAAGAACAAATGGTCTAATGGACTTGAGCCTTCAAGTCTTATTGTCCTCTGAAAACTTGCTTATAATCTGCTCAACATGCCACAGAATTGCTCCACCATTAGAGAATGCAGTGGTATCTAACAATTTTGCTCTTTCACTTCTAAAAGAATTTTGAAGCACTTTTAACCTCCTTGTACATCTTTAAACTGGCATTTAAAGTTTTTAATAAATAAAATAATTGAAAAAGATGCAATTGCATTATTAATATTGACATAATAAAATATAACACTGTTTCACTTTTTTTTTTTTTTTTTGAGTTGGAGTCTCACTCTGTCGCCCAGACTGGAGTGCAGTGGCCACTCCCGGCCACTGCAGCCTCAACCTGCTGGGCTCCGGCGATCCTTCCACCTCAGCCTTCCAAGTAGCCGGAACTGTTTCACTTTTTGAAATGTTTATATGACATATAAATGCGATTATCTATTAAAGTGCGATAATCTACTTTAAGATACTTGCATAAGCTCTTTTTACCAGTCAGAAATTTTGCATCTCTTTTTTTCTCCTAAAACTACAATTTCCATTTCATTTTTGTCTCAGAAGTCATAATGTGAATAGCTTTATGCTTGATGTCCTTTATGGCTCACTTATTACATACCTCTTAAAAAAGATACATATCCATTATTATAAAACTTTTAAAAATTAATTTTCTGTGACCATAAGTCTTCAGTCTTTGAAAACTGAAGGGGTTGCATTATTGTTACAATATTGTTACTGCATGACTAATCATGTCAAAAAATACAAATTTGATCATTGTTAACATGATAAACAACATTTTATTAGACATACCCTTCATACCGTTATTTTATTTTATTTTAAAGATGTGGGGTACAATTCAGGGTTAGGTATACAAACGTAGATTATGCTATGCAGGTACCCTTGTTGATGAGGTGTGCTCCTACCTCCCCTGGCAGTTTCCCTCAACTGCCAATCCCTTTCTTATAATAGTATGATAATGGTGCAAGGTCTGCTTATGAGTGAGAACATATGGTACTCTGATCTTTGTTTCTGTGATAGATCACTGAG